AATAGCACAACATACATTTATAAAAAAATATACGTAGGTTTCTGAATGGAGACAATGCAGTGTTGTGTATGGCCGGATGGATATGAAGTAGATGAAATAATTAGATAAGATTATGATGTTAAGTTAAAATGGGAGTACACTCTTTGTTTTAAATAAGATTGATGGCATAAATATAGTACACATGAATGTGAAAACACGCAAATGTTGCATTACAACGGACATTTTCTTTAATTGTACTCTAATGATTCTCATTTCCCATACTTTAAACCTTCATATCTTAAGATTATGTATTTATTTACTTACTTGACTTCAAATGACATTATTTGAAACTCACACACAAGTCATAACACACGAAGCTCCTGTAGTTATTCTTTCGTACATTACGTTAATTTGATTTCATTCGATTCTACAGCTGTAAACCATTGATATACATTTTAGATTATATAAAATTTATCTTTCCTACAATATTAATTTGATTAAACGCTAAATGCAATGTAAAGGGCCTTATAAGGCCTAAATCAATGTGAACGCTTGGATGATATAATAGAAACTAGCCCAACAATTTATCAATGAAGTAGCCATTTTGTTTTTTGTTTTTTTTTGGGTATGTTTAACATCTCTTTTGGGTCTAAAGTTTTCATGGTCTCTTAAAAGCCTTCATGGTCTCTTTGATCTAAAGTTTAACAATGTGAACAAAATTTAGATTTCGATTGTTTTAAACACAATTTATGCGTTTGAACTAACAATATTAAAATCAAATTTTTGAAACATATATTCAAAAATTTATAGCCTAATTTTGAAATATATAAACGCAAAATGCCAAACTATACGTGAATCAATTTCGAAATTTGTTATTATTCATCGACTATGCGACAAAAATCACATTTTCGAAACATTATATTCAATTTTTATAATCAATTTTGAGATATATAAAGTATAAACGCAAAACTCCAAACTATATACAAATCAATCTCGGAATTTGTTATTATTCATCAATTATGCGACAAAAAAATACAAAACCTGATTTACGAGCAAAGAATGCGGGTTTCCGGAAAACCATCTTTTTATATAAACATTTCTGTCGCTTATTGATTTAATGACATTGGCTATGTATTTATTAATCAATAATCAAATGTATTTGTAAACGCAAAACACCATAGAATAAAGTTATGAGCACTAATTGCACACGCAAACAAACAATCGAGGATTAGATCGTTTGCAATTAAATCGTAAAGCTTACTCACTGAAATATAAACTGAAATTACCGGTCTCTAAAATTGAATGAAGGATCAATTCCAAAGAAAAAAAAAAAAATCTAAAGAGTGATCGTCAACTACAAGAATCTTATCCTATGCTTACTCTTTCCTTATGATTGACACTAGAGAAAACGAACCCCAACTGATTGATGCTAGTGAATAAGATAAAGTCCCAATCAAAAACTTCTTATCCTACGCATAATTCACTATCCACTGCTATCATGCGCACCTCAAATTAAACACACAAAGAAAGTTTCACAAAACTCCAAAAGCCAAGAATCTGACCCATTCACATACGTTTCACAAACACTTTCATGCCCACCACACGATTAACCCAAAGAAA